CATTTTCAGTTACATTAGTTTTCAATGTGGTGTTCACAAAAGATGGACTTGGATCAGGCCCCACTGTTTGGATTGGTCTTTGCCAAAGTTATGGTGCGTTAAGATCTGAGGCATTGATTTGTTGCATCATAGAAATAATAGTCATCTGCATTGTTGAGTTTTGGATTTGAAGTTTAGGATTGTTTGGATCTGAGGTGTCAGGTAATCAGATCTAGGTTAGGGATGTAAGTGACTAGTCGACTACCCGATAAGCACATGCTCAACAGGTAGTTGAGTAGTGAGTCAACTAGTCGCTCCCCCTTCCCCTTACTGCCTCAGTCAGAAAGAGGCAGCGGGGGGGAGGGGGGGAAGCCGGCTTAAAAATTGGTTCCCCTCCCAGCACCATCTCCATGGGGGCGGGGGAGAGGCAGAGGTGTAGTGGGGGACTGGGTGGGAGCTGGGAATCAGCTCATTCCCAGCTCACTCCAGGTTCCACTTACTGCACTTCTGCCTTTTAAAAATGTATTAAGAGCCTGGAATTAAATGCCTTACTACAGGCCTGGGCAAAATACAGTCTGTGGGCCGGATCTGGCCCCTGAAGCCACTGGATCTGGCCTGCGGAAGCAGCGGGGAGCCCCAAGCAGGCTCCCCGGCTTGCCCCGCAGCCCTGCATGCCATTCAGAAACAGGGCTGCAGAGCTCAATTTCTATTTTAAAACTGGAAGGGAGGGGCGAAGTTTTAGGAGCTGTCTTACCCCTAGCACATTCCCATTGGCTGGTTTCTGGCAGAAACCAGCCAATGGGAGTTGCTTGTTGGAATAACAGGCAGCTAAGAAGAATCACATCTCCTCTCCTAGGCTTAGTTATTCGTGAAGCACATGGCCAGGAAAACAGGCAGGCTACCTGGGAAACATTTTAAGCTCTGCAAGCAGGCAGGCTAGTTTGGCAGCTGGCAAGTAAGTCTCTTGGCCACAGCCTGCTTCTGGCACCACAGCCCTTTCCTGCCCCAACTCTCTGCCCCTCCGCTCAACATACCCAAACCCTCTGTCCCCCTCTTACACCCACACCCTCCCAGAGCTGGCACCCCAATCTCCTGCCCCAGATCACAATCCCCTCCTACCCTAGGTCACATCCCAAACCCCTGCAGTCCAGTCACTTGCCCTAGGTCACAACTGACTGCTTCATCCCAACTCCCTCCCAGACTCCAGTCTGCCTCCTGCACCCCAGTCCCTTTCCCTAAGCTCCTTTCCACACCCAACCTCCATCCCAGACCCCACATCTCCTCCATTAATATCATGGAAGAGAGTGGCCCTCGACCACTTTCCAAAATCTTGGAGTATCCCCCCGATAAAAAATTATTGTCCACCCCTGCCTTAATAAATGTAGAAGGCAGAGCTGCAATGAGGGTTAGCTCCCAAAACCTGTTGCAGCCCTGCAGTTTGTCCCCTTATTGACTAATTAGGGTTGCCAGGTGTCCGGTAAAAAAATGCAGAAAATACCGGACATCAGTATTTTCTGGCTGGGTGCTGGACAGAAGCCTGGCGGGAGTGGCTGGGAGGCGGGGCGCAGTCTGTGCTGGGAGCCCTCAGCTGATTGCGTCTGA